AGCTCTTCGGAACCAAATACAGCTAGCTGGAGATGAGAGGCTTAAACCACCTTATCAGAAACATGCTCCGACTACAGGATAAATGTATACGACATCAGTGTGATCCAACGGATTATTAGGGATTCCTGCGATGCAGTGAATGTTTTTACTTCAAAACTGAATCATGATTTCCTTTTGCCTCTCACTGTATATAAACTTCCGTTCAAATAAAATGATTTTTACTGGATGTTCTATCTCTCTATGATCTTCGTCACTCAGTAATTGTGGAAAGTACGCCACTATCGAATGGTTTATTGTCGTGTGGTGCCCAATGATGTTGTTTAGACTAGCTTGAACTGTTACACAAATGTTGCATTATTAATTTAAATAGAAAAATTGCGAAGAGAAACGTACTATTTTTATCGCATTTTATTTCCTAGGACCGATTGACCAAAGAGATGGCATCGGGTACGAAACTCCATTCATCGGACGGTGAAAGGTAGGCATATATTATTAATGAACCCAACTTACAAAGTACCCTGAAAAATACCACCACCTTTAGCTATAATCCTTACGTGAAGCTTTCGCTGGGTACAGTGGCTTTCATGGCACTAAGATGGAGATACTGAATCCTCTTATATGCCTTTCATGGCACCCCACGCGTATATTCTTCTAACTCTTAAGTTTGCTCTTCCGATTGTTCAAGGACTGAATTTGGAACAACGCCTAAGCCAGGTAATATGATGTAACGTATTTTGTAGGATATTCTCGTTTCATCTTGTCTTTACTTCTTACGCCTAATAGTGATATTATGTGTTCTGGATGTTTTATGACATATACATTACGGTAGTTCTGTCTGTCCGCTAGGCCCGTATATAACTTAGCAACTGCTGGGTTTTGTATGAAATTTTTAGGGAAGGTTACTACTATGACAAGGACGAAAAGGCTTTGTAGTTTTTGAAAATCGATCCACTAGCGGCAGCAAAAAATGCCAAAATCGGAAAAATAAAAATCGTTTTTAGGGATAAAAAAATTGGGGGTGGAGGTTGTAAGGGGTAGGGTAGGTATATCTCATTTTTATGCGCTTCCAACCTCGGCAACTTTACGTATCTATTAGAGATATTTCACACATTATAGATTTCCGAATACATTTGCCCTCAAGACTCTAGACAAATGTTTTGATACGCGCCCCTGCTTCTGCTCTCTGGGTCCTGCGGTATAGTATCGGAGAGAGGCGACGATGCTAGATGGACGGTACTACCGGTAGGGCTGTGAAAAGATGTTTATGGATTAATTGTATGGGGACGTTTGACTGATTTAAATTGCGCGCCATTTTTGATACACGCATTTCAGTAGGTGGCGCCGTAGTAGTTGTTTAAAGCACAGGTGTCCATTTCATCACGGAGTGCTACACCATCCCACAACGCGTCCGTATTGTTAAAACGTTTTACTTAAATAATGAGTCGATTGTTGCAAAGACTCGGAAGCTACGACAAGATGTCGGTCGAAATAATGTGCCAGACTCAACACCATTCCTCAGTTGATCCGAAAATTTTAACAAACAGGTGAAGTTAACCACTTGCCAAGGTCGGGCCGTGTCCGGACTGTTCGTACTCCGGAAAATATCGAGAGAGTTCGTGAAAGTGTAGTGGAGCGCCCTGAGACTTCTACCAGACACCGTTCTCAAAAAAAAACCTTGCACCTGCGGCCATATAAAATTCAGTTAACCCAAGAACTATAGCCTAGTGACCATGAAAGTCGCCGACAATACACTATTGCAGCTTAATACTCAAAATAACGATTTTTACCGACAACTGATAATGAGCGATCAAGCCCATTTCCATATGAACGGATTTGTTAATAAGCAGAATTGTCGTATATGGGCATTAGAGAACCCTCGTGTCATCCATCAACGACCACTACATCCTCGTCGAGTCACAGTTTAGTGCGGTGTTTGGTATGGAGGTGTCATTGGACCTTACTTCTTTGAAGACCATGGAGGTAATTCTCTTTCTGTCACTGGCGAGCGCTACCGTGATATGGTGCAAAACTTTCTGGCCCCTCAAATCCAACAATTAACAATTTAACTGGCAAAACATGTGGTTCCAGCAGGACGGAGCAACTTGTCACACAGTTAGGGAAACAATAAATCTTTTGCGAACAATATGCTCGGGACGTTCAATTTCTCGATTTGATGATGTCAACTGGCCACCAAGGTCACCGGATTTAATGGATCCTGACATTTTTTATCGAGATTTTTGAAAAAAAAAGGGTTATTTCAACAAACCAAATACTATAGAGCAGCTGAAGAACAATATTACGGAATGGGCTGAAAATATTCCTCACGAAGCCTACCAAAAAGTGATGGAAAATGTAATCAAGAGAGCTCAGATTTGCGCGGCTTCTAGATGCAGACATTTGTCTGATATTATTTTTCATACATAATTAGATTAAGATGAGAAAAATGGACGTATTATTTCATTTCACAAATATTCAAGATACAAACCAAGGTCGGGCCGTGTCCGAACATATCTGCCACTCTGTACATATTCGTAAAAAACCTTTTCTCACAGGGTCGAACTTATTCTGCCTTCATGAAATGATGACCGCGTTGCAAAGTCAACTTACTTGATGCCATTTTTGCATTTACAATTTGGTCAGCAGCTAGATATGTATAGTTGGTGGTGAGGATGCAGATATCGCGTAGCTAATATACAAGCATCGTCCGCATCCGCTGCAGTAGGGTACTTACTATCTGTTGAACTACTGGTGTAAGAACTTTTAGCTGGTGGAAAACTATCGTCCCTCGCAGCGACTTATGATACACCACGTTTTGAGAAGATTAGGCGAGTGGAAAGCTTTGGCTATTTTCAGGGATTTTTTGAGAAATGCATTTTTCTACTACTTTTTGACCAGATAACGTGTTTAGTAAAACATCGAATTGGCACATACTCGTAGAGATTTTGAGATTTTTCGCAGAAACTCGCAGTATTCTCCAATCTCCAAAATTCGGCGAAATAAATTGTTTGTAAAACTTTATTTAGCGATGAGTCTAGTCTTAGATCTTTATCCGAAAAAAATATTGAAAGATTTTGATTTATAATCTTGAAGTTTATTCGCCTTGACTGTCATCATAGTAAAGAGGACCGAAGGACGTTTTAAAACTGCTTAGATGCAATTTACGGTCCTGCAAGAAGGTAGTTGTTTCGATTGCTGCTCTCCTTTTCAAAACACAATATCCACAGAACAAGCAGAAAACCAGCGCATATATCAGAAACAACAAATGTTAGACGGTGGAAGCCATTTCCAACGGCATACAATTTAATGGCCTATTGTTCTTGGAGGTGCAAGTGATTCAGAAGGTTGGGTGCGACCGTCAGTGACCCTCAAGGACGCAACACCTGACTGTTCCGTTCCTTCTTAACGATTCGTTTCGTTTTTACGAGCACTTCTCTACGAACCATACATAAATTCATATGTATACCTACATAAGCGTGTAATAAGGCGGCAATATGAGATTACCGATTACGAAGTATCAGCTTCTGTTTAAAACTCTTTTTATTTTCTTCCAGATGTGGACGCGTTGTTACTCGTTGTGCCTTTGTCACCTTTGGCTCTTTTTTCCAACCAGTAAGCACCAGTAGACATACCAACACTGCAGATGCAGCACTATTTATCATGACATTTTTTGTAGTGGAATAGGTTTAGTCATTTCTGCGGCCATAATACAAAAAATAATGAATTTTTCGTTTGATCGAATTTTAATAATCCGTTATATAAGTTACCCATTCCAATGGATTTTTGAAAAAATTCTAAGAAGTCTACAAAACATGACATTTATGTTCATTCCCGTTGACAGTTTTAAAGATATTAAAAAAATGTTTTTTATTTTTAAACTTCAACACCCAGTATCTTCTTAATGAAACCCTCGAGGAAAAAATGTTACATAGAAGACCCCCCCTTAAAATGCGGTCCTGTGTATGATGTTTTATTTTTGGTGACGACTTATGAATCACCCTGTATATTCAGTATCGTTGTAAATCCAAAATATTCGCCGGCACAAAATGATGGATCACATATATTTTTAACAACCGCTTCCGAGTGGATTATCAAATGACCAGAAGAATGCAGTCCGCTACGAAAAAATGCAAGACGGCTGCAGCTGCAAAATGGCGCGTTAAACACAGAGTATTTTTTCGATCCCCTCAACTAGAAGTATACTTTTGAAAACTATCAATTTCAAGTTCAACGAATTTATTGTAAAGAAACATTCAACATATCAATCCAGTGGTTTTTACTTATCATCTTATTTGATTTTGCTATAGGAAATGCATGCAGTTTATTGACTAACATAAAAAAAGTTTTTCCAGAGAAGTCGATTATTTTTTTCCTCTAAAATCGACTTTTTCACAACTCCATTATTATTGAAAAAATCAATGTTGCATTATCGATTTTTTTACTCATTGTCGCATCCCGTTACATATAAGATCTAGAAGCGTCGAAACTCCAAGACGGGGTCAAAGAAATGCATGGAGGTATGGTTTCTGACGACAATCGCAATAGAATATCTCTCATCGTTTCTGCGATCCTAATACACGCTCTTCAAAAGACGAGATCCGTACATCCATCAATCAGACTTATTTCATCGTAAATTGCTTGAGAATAGAATGATACGCTTGTAGTTTCTGCGACCCTAAAATTTTCAAAAGCAGCAAGCACATCTGCACGTCGAAGCTTGGAAATTGTATGAGAAGCAATTTCTAACAGGGCCACAGAAACGTAAGCAGGTACCGATCGTAATAAATTGCGAAGTTATATCAGAGTTTATAATTTCACCAACTACAACCGACGCATGATTATAGTATTAGGTTGGCTATCTTGAGGTTGAATATGTTAATCAATAGTATACCTCGAACGGTGAATTAAGAGGGGTCAAATAACTTCGCAAATTTATATGACAAACTCCTCAAACGGGGGTAGTGGACGTCATTGCGTCCTTGGGTTGATTAATGGATAGTATGGTGAAATTAACTTCTCCGGTTTGTTTGGAGAATATAAAGAAACCATCCTCTTCTTACACTACTGAGTGAATCAACCAAGATGAAGCTGTTAATGATTTACTAATAGCAGCGTCCGGCGCGTCATTGGACGGGAGTTGGAGTTGGAAAGTATACATAAAACATCAGGTACACTAACAAAACGAAGCTATATTTTAAATGCTCCAGATATAATTTTATGTTAATTTTTACAACAAATTTACATTATATATTCTATATTACTCTTGCAAAGGAAAATAGTGTACCTATGCCAGACATGTCAATTTTAGAAAATATAGCTCTAAACAACAGTTCAATGCACCAAATTGTGGTTTTTGCCAACGCATAGTAAGTACAACATTATCCTTTACGTATATATTATATATAAAAATATTTTGAGATCATAATCTAAACATCACAGATGTTGAAAACATATAGTTATTTATTTAATATCTCAAAATAATTAACATCTGCAGAACTGCAGAATTTGCGAACTCTGCATGTATTCAACTTTTCATCAACCACAAATATTTAATCATTCGAACTTTTCGAAGGGCAAATGATTTCTATTTAACAAGCATCTTGAAACCTTGAGTCTCGAGGATTCCGCAAAAATAAAATAATTCAATGGCAACTAATGGCTAATTATGTGGACAAAACTGACATATTATCTCGTACTAATCAATTAATTCTAACTTGATGCAGCCTAGCCATCTAAAAATACACAAGAAAAAGGTATAACTTTATGCGTAGGTATATCACGATAAATGTTCAACTACAAGATGCTCGTTAATATATGCACAATTCGCAAGTTCGATAAAATGAACAAATGTTGTGGAACACATCAAATATATTGTCCCTTTACTAGTACATCACTACGGTACTAGGTATTAAAAGTCCTGATGATGTTATAAAAGTATGAACTAGTATTTTTAAACAATAAACTGATGCCAAGGATTTGGATAAATGACATTTTGGGTTTGCGAACTGTATCAATTATCAAAACAGAAAAATTTCAAAAACTGTAATCGATTGGAAAAGGTGATTTTTCAACATTCTGAATCTGTAATGTAAGGAGTCCTACCTATGTGTATGTGAATTTATATGTATGACACATAATAAACCCTGTTATAAAACTAAATAATTTAACCTACTTCACTGGTATGAAACAATATAATGTACTAAAAACGATTTTTCAGATTAGCTATTCCATCATCATGATAAGTAACCATTTATTGATCGTTTGATTATTATTATAGTTGGCATAAGTTTTGGAGTTGCCACGTTTTCGCAGACGTCATCAAATGTGCGATGATCAGGAGGGGATAATGGGCTTGAAATCAATTTTTGCGCCTTAATAATTTTGCAATATCGGGCCTCTGGAGTAGGGATGTTCGATACGATCCGATATTTAGAACTATCGATACTTTTGCTTCCGATACCCGAGATATTTTGGATCGATATTTTTATATGCGATACTTGGGTGTATGGATACATTTCACGAGTATCGTCATCTTTCGATGCAGACTGTGTCATATTAATTTTAGATTCCAGGGTTGCCACATTAGGGGGTTTTCCCCAATAAACAGGGAATTTTCATTTCAATGGGGAAAATTTTGGGGTTGTTTTTTCTGGGGATTTCTTTTGGGGAAACATTTTACTGGGGAGGTATTGTCATATAAAATTTTATCAATGACACTACACAATGTACTTGAGTACTGAATTTCTAAACGACCTAGCAACCCCCGATTGGATTCAGTTTCGGGGAATTACACACACATGACACACAGTGTCACATTATTGTGATAGTGATGCCTCCAGTAAGAAGTGATTTGTCAAGCTATTTTGTAAAAAAAGTAAACATTATTTTTAGGGCTGTAGAAACACACTTCGATTTTCGGTAGTGTATGTTCCGTGTCGAAAGGATTCGATACTTGTGCTATTGATATTTTTATTCCGATCGACACTTTCTAAAACCATACGAATCGATACATGGTATCGATACTTTTCGTGGATCGGAACATCCTTCCTATGGAGTATACCTAATCGTATTATAAATTGCAGCAGCGTACCACAAAAGATTTTATTAGAAAATAGAGCAACCTGATTCAAAGTAACCAAACTCGAATGTAATCTCAAAAACTAGTATTAGATGACATAGTAATATTTAATACTCACTAATACCAGTATTGAAGAGCCTATATGGAAGATTATGCTTTCAGCTTATTTAACTGTGTTGTTCGTTGGTGTGGAATCAATATTTGTGTCACTTCCATTTTCTGCTAAGCAGATACCTATCTGGTTCTTTTGGATGAATTTGAGCCTAGTTTTTAACTAATAAGTTGGCCACTTTGAGGGTTTCTATTCTAGTAGGATAGTAGTATATAAATAACAAACTAATTTTAATAATAGCAATACTGCAAACGCGTTTCAAAAAAAACTCAGTCAAATATCCACCACAAGTATGTTGCACTTGATTATCTGTATACAAGTGAAAGGGTTCACCATACTTGTAATACGAAACATTTTCAATTTGATGAATATATTCCTTTGTGGAAAATGCAACGTGAGCACTAAAAATAGCTGTGAAAGCTAGAAAGTTCTAATAGTGTTCGTTAAATCATTAATTCATTATACAAATAAAACTGCAGTAGCATGACTGCAATCTGTTAATAATTCAATATTACAATCTGGAGGAGCATCAATTATTAGATAAACATGATAATAAATTATACAGGCTTTAAAATAAACAAAAATATAATCATTTAAATTCATCTTAAAATACATGTACGTACATCCAACTTCCACTGCTCAACCATATATTTTTTGTTAATTTTCGAAATGTCTTTAAAAGACCATAATTTGTACCTGAAGCATATCACATGTTTATTACATACTAACTGGTCAAAATTTCATTCCATTTCATGAATCAATCCTACCAACCAGCAAATAGCAAAAAAACATGTCACTAGATTTCATTTGGACCCATCAAAATATCACCTATTCTTCTATTTACATTTTAATAAATAAATCGACCTCCTGTTTGTGAGGATGATGCACAAAGTCTCCAGACTCGTTTAAGATTTTGTTATTACTGAAAAACATGTTTTATCATCGAGAGCATATTCATAAAGTGACAAAAGAACTGAACCAGGTTTGAATGCAATTAAGATATTTCACTTTTGCAACAATGTATTTATTCCCTCATTGCTGATATGGCTGTTTATTTCATGCTCACAAAGGAAATGGTCGATTTATAGTCATGCTTCGCTTTTCGAAAAAATTGACAAACGATCGGCGTTTATATTACTTACATATGGCTCTTTAGAGCAACTCATTGCACATGGGATTGACCAGTTTGTCCATTCGGTATGCCGTGCTTTCACTCAAGCTCTCTTAACAATTTTTTTGTACGAATTGAAATGCTTAACCTACAATACTTAATAAATTAGCAACTTAAACAGTGAAAGCATAGCTACATTTTATATCGAAAAGCCACACGTGATTGTGATGTAACTGTCAGACAAAGTGTTGAGTATTTTTAGGAAAATAATTCGAGAATAAAAATGGTGGAAAATAATTACCAAGTTTTGCAAGAACTAAATCTGTTTTAACAAAAAAAAGGAGGGGTTGAGGTCGCCAACAAATTATACTCACTTTGTCGATTTAAAGAAAATATTCAGAATCGCAGGATAAAAGTAGTGTGAATTCGTACGAAGGGTGACTTATTCTGTAATTGCTTTCCATCTAGAAAAACTTCAGCTGACCTAAGATAGCCAGAAAATCATTCACAACTTCAAAACCGATCAGATATTTAACATACTCATTCTTCTCCATATCACGGTTGTAAAACCACAGCTGTTGGAAAAATCGTTTGGTTGCTCGAAATTGAATATGTGTAAGTTTGACATTTACATACTGCTTGGACAACCGAAACGCTAGTAATATTTGCATATATGTAATGTGGTTTTGCGAAAACAGTATAGTGACGGATCAGAGGGTAAGTTTTAGGAGTTTCACTTTTGTTCAGTGCCATTTTTTAAAATTACATTGTTTGTCGTAAAGCATGAGCTCAAACCACTATTATCTTACGATTTCAAAAATAAAAATTATTGATACAATTCTGGACAAAGTAATTGCATTTGATTACTACATAAAACAAAACTTAGCGATGATGTTGTCTGACATTATCTAATAAAATAAAGAGATATTTTGACAATACGGTCGTTGGTCGTTAGTCGAAGGTGAAGATATATAGAGGTAACCCACACGAAAAACCACCAATGAAATTACAAGATTTTGGAGATCAAAAGAAAGAAACAAAAAACTACTTTAAAATAAATACAATATAAAGTCTATGAATAGACAAACAAAATATAGTACTTAACTGTACAGAACTTATAATTAATTAAATTTCTTTCAAGAAACAAAACTTAAATTGTACTTCATAATAATTGTTTTCGAGATCGATATTTGTAACAAAGTGGAAGAAGGTTTAGAATATCGTGTTGTTTATTTCTTTTTATGTTTTAACTACTGGCGTTCGTGAGTCTTGCCTGCTTCAGGGGTCTTTCTGATGATGGGTGATACTTCTCTATCTTCGTTGATTCAGCGATTGATCGTTTCTTCACTGGCATAAAATCTGAAACAAAAATATATCTTTTAGACATAACCTTCGTGTTTATGGGTATCAAATGTTTTCGCAGCTCATAGCGATGTTGCGAATTGTTTATAGAATAACGACGCAAACTAAGCATGATGGTTTCGTCCGTCCGACCAAAAGATATCTAACCAGCTGTTTCGTACTTCTTGGTTACTCATCAGCATGGTATAGGCTTGGTCTCTCGTCTCTGAGACAACGAACGTAAGCATCGCAACTATCCTCTGTCGGTCTACGAAATAAATGTCGACGTGAACAGGTAGATCTGATAAAATAGTGTTATTATGGATTCATGCGCTTGGGATTAAGCTAAAGTAGAACCAATATAATGTATGCAACATACAGGGTGTAAACGTTATGGTAGTCATTACTGATATGGGTAATAGGGGGGTGAAAACAAGTCAAAAGTTCATATGAGCCATGGTCCAAAAGTCAATAGATTTTTGTCTAAATGGCTTTATAGTTTACAACTTCAAGTGCTTTATATCGACCACAATCACCACAATTTTACTAAAATTTATAATCTAATCTAAAACGTTTTTAAATTGGGTAATTAACAAATAAATGGCATTAAGCTTTTCTAAGTTAAGCAATAATTTGTAGTCCGTAACTAAGTAGGTTTGATTAAATTGAATACTTAACGGCTACACCCAAACTGAAGGACATTTGTGCAAGTGTACCAAAGACTTCGAGATACAGAAAGTGTTCAGCCCACTAATATTCGCACTCGTAAAAGACAGGTAACTGTAGAGCAGGAGGAACAAATTTTAAATATGAAATATGTGGAAATCAATGCATATATCAGCACTCGGGAATTAGGCCGCAGCGTAGGATCGCATACCATAGTTCATAGAATCCTACGGGAAAATTTGCATTATCCCTACCATGTACAACGAGTGCAGGCCTTGTTACCAGAAGACTATCCTCGCAGACTAACATTCTGTCAGTGGTTTTTGCACAAAAACATTGAAAATCCGGATTTTTATAAAAACATTCAAGCGACGGACGAATGTACTTTTACGCGAGACGGAATATTAAATTTGCATAATACTCACACGTGGGCCCAAGAAAATCCTCATTAATTTCCAACAACGTTTTAAAATAAATATTTGGGCGGGTATTCTTGAAGATCAGGTAATTGGCCCTTTCGAGTTACCCCCAAAGTTGTCAGAAGAAGGATACCTTATCTTTCTAGCCAATAACCTGCCAGAACTTTTGTAACAGACCCTACACAACATGCCATTACAACGGTGATAACATTTGTGGTTTCTTCCTGACGGGGCACCACGACACATTTTTAGAGGCGTCATTCAGTATTTGAATGAACATTATCCAAATCGCTGGATCGGTCGAAATGCTCCTGATCCTCGAAAATGGCCAGCAAGATCTCCGGACCTCAATAACAACTGAAGCACAACTTCGCGAAATAATAAATGGACAACTTTGAGGACCTAGGGTAAGAAGAAACTGGGTTCGTCGTAATGAAGCTTGTGTGGAAAGTGGAGGACGACATTTTGAACACCTTCTTTAAATCAAAAAAAAGTGCAGTGTGGGTTTAAAAAAAAACAATGTATGTATCAAAATTGCATTCCCTATTTATGAGTGGATTTTTTTAATACGTTCAATAAACTTTCACACACCAGGTGAAGCGCTGAGACAGTTAGTGGTAAGTCCGTTTTTTTAATTATTTGCATTTTACGAGTACATTATCAAATTACGAAATAATACCTAAGAGCCAAAAATAACAAACTCCATCTTTATTTACACTGAGTTCCATTTAAATAATGACTATCATAACGTTTACATCCTGTACAATCAAGACGTTTCTTATTGGTTTCTTAAGTTAGGTGCAAAGCAGGTTCAAGATAAGTGTGCCTGCGCCATCCGTTAAACTTGGCACGCGATAAATTTCGGTTTTCATAAATAATAAATTAGTTACACAGTCCGAGCAAAATGTGTTTCAGTAGAAGGAATGTCATTTATAATTGTTAAATGTTAGGCAAGAATAAGAAATGGAATAAATTCCAACCAACATTCTCAATTTCGTCAATTCAATAAAATTCCAATTCCTTCCTACGCTTACTGATGAGAAAGTATTGTAATTGCGAAAACTACATGTTCGCCAATTTTGGCCGTAAAACAAGGTTGAAATCGATTTAAAATAAGCCAATCTCAAAACACGCTTCTTGTAGAGCAAAATTTTAACTTTCAACTCAGATACTTGACAAACTCAAAAATTATAACTTTTTTCAGTTATAAGCCCTAAAAGTGGGTATATTGAGTGCCTAAAATCTCGCTCGAAAATTATAAATTTTGAGGTCGCCAAGTATCTAAATTAAAGTTTAAACTCTGCTGTACATTACCGCGGAGAGTATTTTGAGATGATTTGAGAGCGATTTTTAACTTTGTTAGCAACAATTGGAGAGCTTTTGTCTTTTGCAGACTGTACGTCATGAAAAACCATGAAACTCATTTTCTTGGCACGTCTATAACTTGGAAAGTATCGTTCGGTTTTTGATGAACTTCTCAAAAAAGGTAACTACTATGCCAAGGACGAAAAAGCTTTGTAGTTTTTGAAAACCGATTCAGTATCGGCAGAGCTATAGACAAAGACCTAAAAAACACCCAAACTACGTTTTTTGGCGTTTCATAGATTCCTGATTATTTTTGATAAATTGGGAGTTAGGACGTAGGGGGTTGGGGAGAGTATGTCTTAATTTCTCGGCGTTAGTATATTTATACGCTTCCAGCTCCAGTAATTTTACGCACCCGTTTAATACATATTTCACACATCGTTAATTTCACCCTGAGTAATTTTCCTTAAAACAGTGATAGAAATATTTTCACTACACGCGTAGTGCTGCGATATCAGATTCTTCATGAGAAAATCGTATAAGCGCAGTGGGGGTCCCAGGGGTCATTTTCAAGGAGGACTAGATTGTACAAAATGTGTGAACAATCATTTATAGACAGATTGGATCGAAATGTTCGTAGCTAACTTTTTTCTCAGAGGGGCTAACTTATGACTTATAGATATACATAATCCTTATTAACTGATGACGGTGTTGCATGGGAAGTGTAAAGTACACCTACATGAAGCTACTTTTTCCTGGCATGTCTTACCGAGGACATGCTTTATTATGTTTTGGGATATTTGATAACCCTTTAACTCGAAAATAATGACGAATTTACATTTTTTACATTTGACCATCCTACTTTTCAGATAACGATAACCTTACAGGAAATATAAGATAGTAGGCAAAGCGGATGAGTTTAAGAATGTGACAAATGTTCAGCCTTTGTTGTAAGGTGGGTGGACCATGGAAGGCCACGCTTACAAATAAACACTTATTACCATCTTATACAAATAAATCATTAACATTCCATGTACACCTTTTTTGCGCGGCAGAATGGATAGATTAGTAGGCCGAGCGGACTGGTTCGTGGATTTTGATTCTAGGCAAATTTACGGGGAAATCTATGATAACTGAAATATGGCTAATAGGTGCATATAATTAATTATTGGGGTTGGGGGCGTATAAATATACTAAGACCCTTTAGAACCCCAACCCTAGAATTCCAATTACTATAAAATGTTCCTGAGAATGATCAGGACCCTCTGAAACGTCAAAAAATGAAGTTTGCGCGATTCTTATTTTTTTCATTTTTGTTTTATTCTCCACCGCCATTGGACCGATTTTCAAAAACTACAGCTTTTTCGTCCTGGACGTAGTAGAAACCTTGTGTGAAAATATTATCAAAATCCGAGCGGTACTTAGTTATAGACGGGCCAAGGACTAGCGGACAAACAGGAATACCGACAGGCAAAAATCATATCTCAATTTCGAAATTTTCCGCGAGGAAATAGTAGAGAATATAATACTTTATTTGCATGAAAACTTACGTCACTTCTGAGCTAGGCCTATAATTTTAATACATACGACCGATGTTAATAAAGCGAGGGACAGCATATTCAAAATAACGACGGGCGCTACTCGCCGCCGCATGTGTGTCTTTGAGTGACTAACGTTTTCTCACGCATCTACTACGCACCAACAAGAAACGTGCAACTGCGGCATTACTACTATACAACATACGGACAATATGCTTTGTTAGAGTAGTCTCAAGTTACAAAATAAAGTTTTTTATGCATGCTGTGTGTATGGAATACGTCATAGTAATAGCGCAATAATTTAGATGTCAGCATGCATATGGTTTTGTTAATAAATGTGATACTTTTACAATGTTTAACATATTTTCTGCTTAAAAGTTTTTACACTAGTTAATGTCCCCACATTAATTGTTCTCTTCGCTGTATGATAAATCATCATTCAACCAGTTTATTTCTATTTTCTTTTTTCAGGTACCAACTCCAGAAGCAACAAAAATAACGGTGTGGGACGCTGGCGCTGGGATGTTGGAGTAGCTCAAAAAATTGAATTATCAGTATTTTTTTTATGAAAGGATCAAGTTTGCAAGCAAAAGTCCAGTGTAATGATACTGATGCACGGATATTATATTTTGGCTGAAAAGTGGCAGTTGAAAATATTAAGATGGCGGCTACTCTCCATTTTGGAACATTTTTTAAATAGAGTTGGGGGCTCGTGCAATACATCATTTTAGGCTCCTTATGGATACTTTAAAACTCTAGAATCTAAAATCACCCAGTTTGAACATAACGAACTGGCAGGTTGTCAAAGTTGAGCCTTTCAAATCAATATTTGCACTCAACAGTCAATCACCAAAGAGCTGAAGTATGTTATATCAAGCTTGTTGTCTCGAAAGGGTCTATCCGAATATGTAATAAATTCTTACCACTTATTTTAGTACGGTGGTATCAAGTTTTTGGTATAGAATCCACGAAATAGGTTCGCCGTTTTAAAAATATAGTATTTCTGATCATAGATTTGTAATTAGCGACCAAAAAATCCAATTATTCGGTTTTAGATTTTTGTCGATCATTTAGGGGATTGCCTGCAGTGTATATCAATACGAATGTTAGTGAAAGAAGACGATTTCGTTTTGGTTTCGGTAATCAAAATAGTATTTTTTTCATAACGTCTCCTCAAAAATATTTTTGAGCCAAAATTGTATAGGGAGTAAAAACTGGGAGGGGGAGTGGAAGAGGGTAGTCTAGTTAACTAGTTAAGGTATATGGACAAGGATCTTGCACTTTCGCCACAACGCAGATAAATTCAGGGCATAAAGAAACCTGTTGTCAGTTCTTGGAAAATGTTCGTTTTCTTCATGAGGAAAAAGAATATTGTATGGCAATGTAAATCAAATACAATATGACCGAAAAAACAACTTACAAAGTCATAACGTTGAAATCGCCTTTCGAGGCACGTAGTCCAAAACACGGAGAAAAACCAGTAATCATTGAACAAAAGTAATAACTCTCAGGTCAAAAATTAGAATATTCGTAAATATGAAATACCGCATGAGTAGAAAACTGTTATATCCTTAAATATTTGTTATCAAGTTGAAAAAAGCTTAAATGTTGATTACAGTCTGTTCAAACGACAATTCGGTCGGCAAACGACGGCAACATTGAGAAGAGAGAAGGCTGTAAAAATTACTCAGGAGCGTTGCCAAGATAGAAAAAAATGACGTCAAATAGGTTGACTGTATTTCCCTCGCAACGCTGACGTCAGTTCGTAAAATATTATACTTGGCACAAGTTAACCCTTCTGAGAAAAAAGTTAGTTACGAACAAGTATAACAAAAAATTAAATAACCTTCCTCTTCGCCCTAAGAGAAATTCCTACAGGCACACTTGATCATTGCGATGACCAATCTCCTGTGAATGATATTGACCTTCACCATGTACAGAGCACACAGTTCACAGCAATGCGGAAGCGATTGTCGACTGTTACGTGCGACGCTCGTCCATCGGTGGACCACGTCGCACACATTGACACGCGACTGTTGGAGATATTTCCGAGTTTTGAGGGTAAATGTACGGGGACATCTATGATGAGGGAAAATCAGATCAGCATCAGTAGTAGCAATCTAAATGACCTACATGTTTTCTATTCATCTAGTGAGGCTCCAACTATGCTGTCAAACTGTCATTTTTACAGTGTCGTTCAAAAGTTATTTAAGAGCAACCCATATGCAGTACTGTTCTTTGGTTATTCTTGCACACCCTGTATGTGGGTGTGTACGTACACATCATAAATGTAGGTCATGCGGTTGAATTGTGTACAGCAGCGGTACGAGAATGATTAGCATAACGTGAGGGCCTTGCAGGAATACCACACGTAACAGCGGGATTGGGGATTACAAATGAGTCGGATTTACGTTGAATACCGTTTACTGCTTAAGCTACAACTTAAATATCTTACGAGACATTTTGTAAACACCAAGAATATGCGTATAACATTTCGTGTAACCTAAGGCGTACTATATTCGCTTGCACCGTTGCGTAGCTTTTAATAAATGTCTTGTTCGTAATGAGGTTTCTATATTAATAGCAATTTAGGTTTGGTCGGTTAGTCAGTTGCTACCCAACTCCCCACGCCATAAACTATGTAACTTATTAAAAAAAAACAAAACGTTGATTCAAGACATACAAAATTGCGCTAATAGTAATTTTGGGAAAATATCAAATAATTCTATTGTTTAAAAACTATGCTATTTAAGCCATAAAATGGCTAATGAAATTACAGAATACGATCAAGGTAAATTGAATGTTTTCGCGAATGATAGCAACCAGGTGCGTCCATCATCAGGTAAGCGATTATTAAATTCAAGAAACAAAGGTGAACTTTAACAACGTAGTCAGGAACTTAATACAGTACCTGGATCTGGCCATAGTTCGAGGAGTGGCTCCTTGGGTGGTTTTAAGAACAGTGTAAACTAACCACTTTTTTAAAAATCTGCCCGTCTTATGTAAAAATATAAGAGCTAGACATATAAATTAAATCTAATATAAATATTTAAATACAAATCTATTAGTAAGAATAAGGCGTTAATGAAATCGGAACTCTTCAAATAGAAAAAAGTAACGGATTCAAACCTGGCGATCTAAGAGTCTTCAAACATAATTCACATACACCGCGTTAAGAGAAACATGAGAACCCGATAGCCGCTTCTATTTGATTCTTGCTGCCTGACCAGGCATTCATGTCGGGCCAGCCAATAGGAACGCGCGAATGTGATCGTCGCGCGCTGGTGTTTACTTTGACGGAGAGATTTGAATGCACTGTAGCATGTCAATTTGAGGTTTTAAGTACGTTTTTTTTTATACGATTTAGTTAAATTTTCGACAATACCTATCGAATTTAAAACAAAGTTCAGCACAATTGACTAAAATGAAGTGCTACGATTAAACAAAAATGACAAGTAGTTTTGCGAAAACTTAGATTAAAAACAAAGGACAATCGTGAGCATGTTCGCAATACAGGAACAGGAGCAGAAATAGAAGGATTCGTAACCCGATTGACGTACATTTCTGCTTATTGGCTTCGGCGGTTTCGATTCACAGCACATCCGTTTGGGCTTGATAAAGCCAAAAAGCACAAATGTAAATCGCTCGGTTTGGCAATCCTATTTCTGCTCCTGTTCCGTCATTGTGGACGTTCACACGATTGTCCTTTTTTCACTGAACAAATTGTTGACTCTTATTATTTGTAGCCATGCTTGAACATGCATCAAAAGAAATATATGTTGTTTCATTTTTCTTATATTCGACATCTGTTTTTTTGTGTGTGTGTGTGGGGGGGGGCGGTGATGACATAAGACATACTTAAAGAAATATTTTGTAAATTATCGCCGGAGCAACATCCCTCGAATTGGTGTACTAACAGTGGAAAATGAGTTAGTCCTCTTTCAGCTTGTACATTCAGTTTTATCCCAGTTAATACTGATCCTGGGACATCGTGGGAACGGGAACAGCGTTCGTATCGCCGGGATACCGTGTATAATTGAGCCCCTAGCGCGTGTGCACTTATTACTCTTATTATTCATGACCTACGTACACAACAACGGGGAGGTTCTTAACTTGTGGCACGACCCCGGGGTGACAACGAAAGGGGGACATATCAACCTTTCTCGTGCTTAGTAGTTACTGATAGACGGGCTTTCGTCACTAGTTTGGTCGACAGTTGAATACCAGTGGCGTCGATATATTACACACAGTCTATTCCTATTTAAGCATACATCTGCCATTCTAAATATTTTCTTCTAGTGCCAATTAATGATAATGGACAAAGGGAGAGATGCTCCATATGTCTCAAAAAAATGTAGTTCTATAATTCATGTTTCTAAATTTTTTACATCTCACAGAGAAAATTAAATGTTTAGGAAGATAGTCCTGAGCAGCGATTCCCAAAAGTGGTCCAGATGGACCCCAGGGGTTGTGGATTGTAAGTGGGGTTTCACGAAAATTTATCATCGTTCTGATGGTAAGGTCTTGACTTTATCTCCTCATGCCTATTCGAAAAAGTTTTCAGTACATCCCTCCCATTAAAATGCCGATTTACTATTTTTTCTTAGCACTGTTGATTTGTATTGCCAAAGAAGTTACGTTTTACATTATTAATATTTAATTTTATTCACATTAAATTTGTGTTATTTTAATAGATATGATATATTCACACTTTTTGAACAGCTTTTGGAATATGGTAAAAAGTGGTATATGAGAAATAAAAGTTTGGGACCCACTGCTCTAGAGCCTTGCAATCGTTTATCATGTTTTTGAAATCTCATTTTTCTGTTGTTGTCAAGTATTTACAAAAACATAAATTAGACATTACAGCCCCCTCCAAATCAATTCATCGCCCTCTAGCTCTTTACCTCTCTCCAACCTGTCCACACAAAAAAGTAACACTTATGCTACTGTACTGATATGAAAAGGACCACCGCAGAAGCCAAAACGAACATTCATATATGTGGTTTCACTTGTTCAGAAAAAGAGTTCTAAATGCTATGCGAAAGTTAATAAAATGTGTATAATATTTGTGCCTACCTACAAAATTTTCCTAAAATACGTTTTATGGAGCAACAATTACTAATATCAGGCGACAACAAAAAGCTACGAACACCCGCAAAAGTCAAAAGTTTTCAAGATGGCAATATTTATCTCACCTAGTGCCGTAAACAGTAACATTTTGATTGATTCACGAAACCGGTTAGTTTTGAAAAATGAAGCCAAATGGCTAATCTCACGAAAGGACAGCATTTACTATCAGAATTGATATTTACTGTTTATTTACACTGTTTTGAAGGTTTACTTTTGATTAGATTGAGCCTTTACTTAAGGCACGAATATTTACTTACGTCAAAACTGTTTTTTACGATTTCTCGCGAGCAAACGTAGTAACACCCTGTATAAAATTTAAGATATACTCCACCGTCTAAGTTAAAATTATTTTAAATTGCAAATATAAGGAAGAAAATATAAAAACTTTGTAATTTATGATGTCATTTGTAGTTTATACAACAACTATACAATATTAGGTATGCATATTATTAACCTATCAATCCAAAGCCCAATGGTATTTATGAGTGTTTGATAGCGATTCTTTTTTATACGTTTATCCTACTCTCTTTAGTTTTGGTACCCAAAAATAAATAAAACAGTTTTTTTTAAATGTGTGTTAAGCAACAGAAAACAAGAACAAAATTATTAATTATTTTTACCAGTAGGTACAATATTTACAGTTTCACTTAATATACAATTTCGCGAAAAACTAGAACCATATACATACATTCTAACATACCGATATCTAATAAATAATTAGAATTCACTCGAGAATCATTTATCTGCAAATGTACGGAAAGATTAAACCAATTTCCATACCAATTTTTGAAAAAGATTCCCTATCCTTTTGGTAAGACGACCCTTTCTCCAAAGTAAGGGTCGAAACCTTTTGTTACGTCACTGTTATGCTTATGAGGGTAGTTTGCGGAATAGGTGCGTTGAGAACAATGAAGCTAAGTTTGCAGAAAACGATTAATTTAGACACTTACCGGTCTCACGGGAGGCAAGAAAAAAGTCAGTTATGACTATGAATACGTTACTACTATTATTTGCATGAAGTAATTTGTACACATGACAATTGGAGTGTGTAAATAAATGTCAACGCTGTTACCGTTACTGAGTGCAGTCATTCGAATTTTTTCTTCTGCATTCTTTGTTGTAGATCTTGCCGGTGGTGAGATGCATTCATGCGAAGGTATAAATACGTTATACCTGTAGTGATCTTCTAACTGACTGTATTGTGATTTGTTTATTCTTCGACTAATAAAAAATCGGAAAACTTGTAAAATATGACTTCATTTCCAAAATAAGTAAACCAACATCGTATGCATTCAAAAAAAAAATTGAGAAAACATATTTAGGCCGATATTTATAGTTATCGGTTTAACGAGCTTAAGGTAGAAGTTTTGATTGTCACTTGAAATTCAGTATAGTTGAAATGATGAATATACTACGGATTTATCGAAAACCACTGATTAAAAGAAAAAACCCCGGGATACGTCAAAAGATTTGTCAAGGGTGACAACTTTTTAACCAAAAACTACTTCACCCCCTTTCACCCTCGGGCCCCCAAGGTCAGTCCCTCAAAAATTTGACAAGGGGTATCGAGTGTAAGGTCTTTCTAAGTACTTTATTTTGACGTTTGATCGTTTAAAATCAGTCTATTCGTAGAAATTAGAAAAATCTTTATTTATCCTAATTTGTTCAGATAGAAAACGAAAACACACGAAAATATTATTTTTTATTTCAATAAGTGTTCAAAATGTTGCCCGTTAGGGTTTACCAACTCTACAAGTCATTTATAATTTAAAATGGAAAGTACGAACATAAACAGCAATTCGGAAGATTAGTCGTGGCAACAACCAAATAACATCTCGAATTTTCTACGGCATTCTTTTCATCAACACAGATATCCTGGGCGAACTGTATTTAATGTTATATCTGTTCAGTTATTTGTTGCTAAGGGAAAGAAATAATTTAGTTTGCTGTCAGGTACCTTTGTGACAATCTTGGGATAGTAAAAATTAATTTATTGATTCACATTTTACTTCCAAAATGGTTTACACACTAGCCGAAAGAGTGGAAATGATTCTAATTTATGGTGCCCAAAATCAATGTGATCGGCAAACGCCAGACATCCGAGAAAGATAAATTCGCATAGGTATGTTTTGGACCTTGTTACTGAATTTACTCAAACTGGATCTGTTGCATGTAAATAAAAACGGAGAGTTTTGGATGAAGTTTTGGGTCATTTTGGAATTAATCCTAATACTTCATTACGCAAAACTGTTGCTGCGACTGGTATTCCATTAGGCTCTGCACACACACTTACTAAGCTCCATAAATTTCATCCATTCAAAATAAAAATATTGCAAGAGTTAACCGAAGATGATTACAATAGGCGAATAGAGTTTTGTGCAATGACTGCAGCGATTAATGATAATACCATTCAAGAATATCTGCTTCAGTGATGAATGCACATTTTATCTAAATGGATTTGTTAATAAGCATAACTGCAACTATTGGAGCAATGAAAATCCTCATGCTTTTACAGAAGGGCATACCCAGTACCCCCAAAAAATTAATGTATGGGCAGGCATTTTAGGAAACAAGAGTGGTTAGGCCATTGTTTATTAATGGAAATTTGAATGAAGATATTTATTTGGATATGTTGTAAAATACCATCAATCTGCTTGTCAATGAAGCCATTTAAAACCAAATCGAAGAGGATGGAAACCCTATACTTGGTGAGGCTGAATATATTTCCAGCAAGACGGCGCTCTTCCTCACTATGTTCTTCCGATTCGGCAATGGCTAGACGACGAGTTTCCAGATAAATGGATAGGGCGAAGAGGGCCTACAGAATGGCCTGTTAGAAGTCCTGATCTGACGCCATTGGACCTTTTTCTATGAGAGCATTTGATATCTATTGTGTTTACTCTCCAACCTGAAATTTTGGATGAACTTCGTCAACACATCATCGAAAGCTGCCATGATATCCCAAAACATGTTTTTGAAAATGTCCGTCAGGAATTTGAACATCTCCTATACCATTGTTTGGCCATTAACAGGCAATATTTTGAACACTTATTGAAATAAAAAGTGATAGTTTCATGTGTTTTTGTTTACTATCGGAACAAATTAATAAATAAATATTTTTCTAATTTTCTTGAAAACGGATCAGCCGATTTTACAAAATCGAACGTCAAAATAAAGGACCTTTCAAACAAGCTATTACCAGATACACCTCATTTAAGATTTTTAAGGGAGTGACCATGAGGGGTAGACGGCGAAAGCGGGTGAAGTAGTTTTTGGTTAAAAACATGTCCCCCTTGACAAATCTTTTGACGTGTATCGGCGTTTTTTCTTTTAATCAGTGGTTTTCGATAAATCCGTGGTGGGGAGTTTTATATTTAATGTATTAGACTGTATTTGGGTCAGATTCCATTTGCGAAGTGTCTTCATTTCAGTCGACATTTCTAATTAATATTCATGAAGATAAAAGCAGAACCGATTCAACGCATCCACTATTACAACCGCCAACTAGAGTACTCGGTAGCAAAATATAACCGCGCGTGGTTCGACAACGATCCCTGATAAAGAGCCATTTAGCAAAATAATCTGGTCAGTGAGTTAAACGTGGTGGCGTCAGCGGCCAAACAACATTAACAGCACATTGATAACGTAGCCTTATTTATGGTTATGACGACCATCCTTCGACCAAACAATATTCTTATCTATACCATTACAAATTGGTCAGAGTGATGGCTACCACTTAACAATATAGATTTTCGGAGAAATTCGGATTCTTTTGTGTTTGCTTCTGTTCCACTGAAATGGAAGCATAGATAAGTTTTGCATTCCTGCGTGGATGTATACAATCAGTGACTAGCTATGTCTATATACATCTATCACTGTTTTGTTAATAAGTTGCAGTCTGAATGTTCATATCTAAGATGTGCAGAACCTTGAAATGTTATCTGACCACCACAGTTTTTGTGTATTAAAGGTAAATGGTTGGGAAACAGGGTTGTAAAGCTTAACCAATCGTCAAGCCCCAAAACAATGTCAACGCGGATGTTCCCCAGGGATCGGTCTTGGTTCCTACACTGTTCCTCATACAGATCAACGACCTCCTTTCCTGTACGACCAACTCGATCGACAGCTTTGCTGATGACAGCACTCTACATGCAGGAATTCAGAGTGACAAGCCGATCTCTGCCGACGAGCTGGAGAGAAAGAAGACTAGCAGCGACTTCCTCCATGACAAGAGACCTGGAAGTTATCGCTCCTTGGGGATGCACTAATCTGGTACAGTTTAATGCTGACAAGAAACGCCCTTGCGCTCATTCGGTTTCGATGAATGACCGAGTTTTACCAAACAGTCGTTATTTCGGCTAGTCGGAGTCCAAATCACCGAGGACTTGATCGAACACATCCAAAATGAGTGATCTTAATACCCGAATTGCTTTCTTATTTGTTCGCCGACCCCCAATTTTGACTTCAGATTTGTGTTCAGCTTGAAAAAGTAAATGGGAAAAACATGGTGAGACCCCAAGCACACACCAGTTTTTTATTTTGTGGTCCTGTGTTATTTTTCTCACTATGAGGCATGTGTTCCTTTTGGCTTCAACTATACAATTGAAATGTTTGGTTACTTTTGTTTATAAAAAAGCAGGTTTTAGTAGACTTAATTAAGTCCCACAACACTTCATCTCTCGAAAGTTCGTTGATGCATTCAATAGCAGTTTGAATATGGGGTCCAATTTTAACAAACTCACAAAAAAAAATTGGTTGGCAATGTTAAAAGTGCAGAATTACATTACTGTTTAAGCTTAGCTAATGTTACCTTTTATCTCTTGTTATAGCCTGATTATTTGTCCACAAGCCCACATGAAAACATTTATTGTCAGAGATTAAGTATATTTACCATGTTTCATCGATTTTATCTGTGAACATATTGATACAACATTTTAACGGTTATTCCCATGGAGTGTATCGCGGCATGTATTCAGTTTCAATATGTAGGTCAGTAGTGCTCCACTCTTCACGTAATGCTATTGAATGGAAAATTGTCCGATATAATTTACCCAATGAAAATAGTGAGCTGTTAGAGACTAAATTATCAGTTGGCACAAACAAATATGCATTCTTGAAAAGAGAGAAAAGTATTTGAGTTTACAGATTCATAGAATGGCTCCCCTTGACATATAGAATTTCACAGGATTTTGTCATATGCCTTTACTAATCTAACAGTCCTTACAATATGTATTTGAGTTTTTTACTTTTCTAACAAGAATAGAACATTCCCACTGATTGCTAAGAAAGGAACTACGAGGAAGTAATTCGTAATTTGCCGATCCAATTAAGACCTGGATGTGCGACAGAAATTGACAGACATTTAATCGATTTGAAATCAGGAATAATTTGATAACTAATGACAGCGAAATATCTGCACGACTGCCAGCCGTCAGTTGACCCCACTGACACAGATTTCATCATAGAGACCACGCTTATATTCCACTATCTGTCCGATGATCTTTGTTTTTATGACCACCGCGTGCGCGCTGGTCGATTCATTTCTATACACTTCGCTCCAAGCGAAAAGCATTCTTCTTTTCGTCATAGTCCGTCAGAGCGGTCCGTGGGACCTTTGCTCCTGGTTAAAGTATTGTAGGTCAGTAGGTCTGTCAGGTCTGGGTCTGGTTGCGCAGATGCCAGACAAAGTCAGGGAGAAAGAAGCGATGAAGAAAGGAAGGAAGAGAGAAGAGCAAAGAGGAGGAAGTGCGCCTGTTGGATTGGTGTCTTGACATGGTTCACTAGTATTCAGAAAATTTTGAATTGACCTACAAATTAATTTAGGAATTTTAGGAATTGCGCCTATTGTATTATGATATTACAGTGCACACCATACATAACATTTCAAGTCCGTAAGGCATGAAATGATATGGGCAGTTATTTTTAGGATATGACCGTAACAATACATTTCGTTTCTCGAAAAGTAATTTGTCCTACCAGATGCGGTGATGCGAAAGTGCATTTCCCGACAAAATTGCATCACGTAACTGTACTACAGATCGTTCCAAGATGCGATGAATCAGAAATCGAATCCTTGACAACATACACGTTTACCGAGAGAGACCAACCTTGAGCATCCATTACCAGATAAAGCATTTGCCTGCAAATTACGTCATATATACAGTGGATACTAGCCGTTTCCTAGATGCTAATTATACTGAAAAAAGTCGCGAATACAAATTAGGTCATTTAACATATTGTGTAAATGATAGTAGCATCTTCTAGCGGCATGGTTAGAGGTTGCGGTGTGTCATCTTATGAGCACATGTGGAATATGAATAGTAATATATAGTAAGAGTTTTTTTATATATGGCCTACATTCGCACTGTCAAAACAACATAACGAATACGCAGTTTTTGGAGGATCGGCATATGGATTATATAACATGTGTTCGATACGAAATGAAGTACGAGGGTGGATCACTATGCTTCGCCAGTTACCCCTTACATATGTTAATGCGAAGACTGAAACAAATGATCTTCAGATTCATCAAAATATTACAGCAACTGTTGTAGGGTATCAAGTTCTTTATGATCAAGTCGAGCGCGAAAACATTGAAAATTACATGATATGGTGCTATAAGATGAATATGTAAAGTTACACCCTATTATAAAAACTCAAATGCATTTAAAGCGAATTATTGGAGAACTTAACAAGTGGCTTCGTCAGGATAATGCTCTCAGCCGGACCTCCTGCCAAGCAGGCTTTGAATTAGCATTACATACCCCATTAGACAGTCCTGCTCACCCGCCAATAAATTAAAACAACATTTTCAAGTAACCAGCAGGTGATACCTGCGATAGGAGTGTTCTTCGGAAGTCGGATAAAATTTTTACTGGGATGCTAACGAAATGCTGGAACACCGTTTATACAAGAGCAATTATGCCATCTAGTTATTATTAGAGCATTGATGTTAGAAGAGATTAAGTAGAAAAATAAAATAGAAATTAAATGCAGTTCTGTTGCAGGTAGGTCAGAAGTGGATTACAGTGATCAGCCCTCGTAAAACAAATGTTACATACACCTTACACATTGGGTAATTTCTATTGCAACGATAGATTTTCCGATCAACGGTTTTGTTCCCTTTGTTTAGGTTTTCGCCCGTAGCTCCGCCGCAGCTAGATAGTTTTTCAAAATCTACAGTTTTTTCATAATCAGCATACTAGAAGTTCATGTCTAAGTCCTATCAAAATCCGAAAGGGTATTTACGGATTATAGAGAGACCAATGATTAGAGGACAGAGAGATTGACTGAAGGTGGTGACATTAGTTTTCGTGTTACAAAGACCCAAAAACTATTAACCTCTGTCAATATGACACGAATAGAGGATGTGTATAAAATTTTTGGAAAATACTACTCCAACCACAATATGGTCATAAGACAGTCCAAAGAGTCAACTGCTGAATTTTTCTCTCATGTTTAAGAATCCCTGTTTTATGCAATGGAATATTCAATAATAATCTAATAATGCAGTCTCGACATTAAATGGAAGAGGATTAACAATAAGCTAATCTTTGCGAAATGATGCTGTTTTTTGGCTTGAATAATAAATATGTTATGTTGTCTGCCAGGCTGTATTTTTACTGATAACAAAGGCAATGAGCAATAAATACTCTTTTTAGCACAACACTAATAATGCACTGTTTTATCTGCTGCACACGAGATAAACGTTTACTCTGCCATAAAAAATGACCTTTGCTAATGAAATATTGCAGTTATTATTTTTAGTAAGTAGGTTTTGCGTGAGATACGGCCATATATTATTTTTTATCAGTTAATGCAGGTCGTGGAGTACAATGACAGATTAGAGGGGTTTGGCTGTCTGGGTGGAATTGATATGCAAATATTTTCAATAATCAAACACAGACGAGGTTTCACATTGCCAAATTATCCTGTTCTTGATTCAGAATATAGAAGCAGCGTATCAGTGCATCATACACAACGCACGAAATTCGATTCGGCCAAAACTAACCCAGGAGTGCTGAAAATGCAACGTTTTGAAGTGTGAATGGATATTTTTCAGATCAAACACTGAAGAAAAACTATAGTTTTTGATATAAGATATTCAGTCTTAATCTATTGACGTATCAGTTTTTTTTGCAGAAATCTTGGTTTGAACATTATTTTGTGATGAAATCTTAAATTAGCCTGAAGTTGAACAATAAAACTATAAAATTCTGACAGTAAATTAAGTAATCTTAAATATAATACGTAGAAAATTCCAGTAATTTATATTTCAGCATGAAGGTATTTCAGAAGTTGATGAACAAACGAAACGATGGCGATGTAAAAACAGCCTATCTGGAGGAGTATTCCTAATACTCTTCGACTGACTATTTCGTGGTGTGTTAAGAGACGACTGAAAAACAGGGTTATCGGTTTCCTTTTTGTAAAAAATGCATTTTTTCTTCAATTCTAACTTGGTAACAAATAATAGTACAGTTCTAAAAAACTATATGTCAATATTCCACCTTTATTTTTCAGCAAATTGAGTTTTCAAGAAAAGCGAAGATTCTTTGAAGAGAGGAAGTGATAAGAAATCACCCGCTTCATCCTTCCATAAAAGTGTAATATTCACATACAACTTCAGAGCTGTACCAATATTTGTTAATAAATTAGTAAATGAATTTTTTGCAAAAAAAACGTTTTTAGTCATCTCTACGATGCCTCTACACCATGCAATAATCTGATGAAAAGGATACTGCCCCAAACAAGTTGAAAAAAGGTACATGCAACCTTAGAGCAGCATCAAATAATTTCAAACAACTAGCTAAAACAAGAACTATAAAAGTTGCTTGTTGAACTGAGTAACAAAGTATAGAACTATACTCACAGCTTAAAGGTCAGGAATGCTCCCAAGGCAAACTTACCTGAAAAAAAGGAATAATCTGTTAAAAATGTTTAACATGATAATGAGCATGGTTAGTGTGAATATTTCCAGTAGACATGCATTTAAATACACACCGAAGGTACTAAAGAACATATAAACCCTATATTTTTTTAAAATGATGCATCGTTGAACTTTTTGGCAGGTTGAGGTTAAAACATCCTTTCTAAAATGTAGGTAATCTTAAATTCCTTTTCAGATATAGGCAGTGCTGACTTTACCGATTCTGGAGAAGTACCTGAAATCATGTCATGGGATAGACCGGATTATCCATAAAAATAAATAAACCGAAATAATGTAAAACTTATCACTGAAATAAGCAAGATCAACAAATAAATAATTTACTCGTATTTTTGAACGGATTAATGGATATATGTAAATATACACGATCCTAATGCAAAATATAAGAGGTATAACATGAATGATATAAGTTACTCAAGAAAAACTATTGTTCAGGTGCGTCCTGGCGTTGTATTTCAAAAATACCTTCTAAAAGGAACATTTTATCATAACCTTGCATAAACATGCCGCATTCGACGCATTGTTTTTCCTTCTCCCCTTCAAATATTCGAAAGAATGGTTCAAACAGAGTAACTGTTCGAGACCTCAGTTCATGTATGGCTAACAATAGATTTATAGAGTTGTTTCACCTTATGAGTATACCCCGCATGCATATGATGCATATAAATAAAATATCAACGCCGTGTTTATTGCTCAAGTTGGCAGCCGATGCCATATGGCGCACAACTACACGTCAAAACCAGAAGAACCGCACGTGTTCACATACACACGCAGGCTATTCGTAGCCCAGCACACGTGACGACTGATTTCTTCGGGGAGGCGTACCCTGCATGCTTGTTTTCTGATTTATTTTAGAAAATTGGAGTTCCAGCTGTTTTAGAATACACACACACACACTTCTTTTAATGATAAACAGTTATTCGGAAATATAGTGCACCACAGGGCATTACCAGAGACCAAAAACTGTCAAAGATTGGGTACGTTGAGCTCGGTAGGATTTCTGTTATTGTCACGTTGTCATATTTTAACAATAATTCAAGAAAGTGTGTATATCAAGTAATAAAAAACAGGCATGTTGTGTCTTTCAGAGCTATTTTCATAAGGAATCATCAGGATAAAATTACTATTGTTCAAAATAATATGCAACTATGTAATATGAGAAAGCACAATTTTTGGAAATCATAATACTTCCCGTGGGATCTTGAATTGGCCCCCTATGGGGGCTCACATTCCCTCGATATCTTGTGACGGTGCCGTTTTTTTTGCTTTTCAAAGAACTTCTGGAGCAAATTTGAAAGTTTGTCAAATAGTTCTGTGCCAATGCTTTCAGGAAGGATCCAAGGCACACTCTACAAATCACCACACTATGAAGTATATCCCAAAAAAAAGAGACAATTTCAGATAATTCTTACACATATGTTACCAATACGATCTCACGTTGAGACTCCCTCAGATTCTAGATAAGTTCTAAGGTTAAACAATTGGTCCTGATCAAACCACTGAATTGTTTTTCTAACAATACTGATAAATTGTTTTTTGTTAACGATTTTCATCAACTCCTAAACCAATAGAAAAATAATTTGCTGTAACGTTGGTAAGAAACATTCTCCCAAATTAAAGAAACATTATGCGAGTTACCAGTGTCGTTAGGTACAAAGATTTTTTGGAAAACAAAAACAAAAAAACAGTTTTTGCATTAAACCAGTTTTTTTTTTTAAACCATATTTGTTTGGCTTAAATAATTTGTGTTTAAGTAATAACGGAAACTATTAGAAATTAGATATAATTTATTTTAGTCACCTGTCAAAAATCAGCTTTCCACCTATTAAACAATATAGGTAGCAGGTGAATAGCACTATTCGATAGATGAAAAGCAGTTTGTGTGAAGTGACAAAAAACGATTATATTTAAAGGCAACTAAATACATATTTTCATGAAAACTCAAACATATTCTACTATTTCATTTGTATTCATTCACATGTGAGAATGAGAAAGGGATAAACGTAACTCTTAAACCAAAATTTGAGATATAATCTAATAGAAAAATTAGTAATACATTTTAGTCATATAATTTCATTTCAGTCTTCATTATTTGTAGATGATTTAATATTTTACAAAAACTAATTTTGAGGCATGTTCACTATCCAGTCTATTTGCGTAGCTTACTTTGTATCAAGCGAAAGCAAGACAAAATCTTTCTACGCTTGCTGAAGATGTTTTTGGGGTGTGTAGTTAATGATATCATTAATATTTACATTTTCGCCGTATCAGTACCATTTGCCTGGCTTCTGTACCACTCAACTGTCGTCCCTTTTGAAGTTACGCTGCTGTCAAAAGATTTTTTTGTAATTGAGCCCTCTGCTTGAAATTTTACAATTACTGGCAATATATCATATTAAATAAGGTCTCTAAATCTGGTGAACAAGGGTGCATTTAAGGTGTTTTTGACAACTGAATAACTAATAAAAAATTTGATTTCGATTAATTAAAAAGAAAGTTGGTGGCATACATTTACAAGTTATAAAAAATTGGTTTAAACGCGCCAACCCTGGCATCTACCGAGGCACCTTAAGTCTTTGAACCCAAAGCAAAAGCTGCAAAAATGTTGGCTTCCTGATCGTGATAAGGATATGTTAAATAATGTCATTTTAAGAACCAAATTCCAACTGTGTATCTAGATTAACTTAATAATAGTATTCCGATTGCAAATCGAATCATGCATTAAAACGGTCAAAACGAATCTGTTCAAATATTTAACAATTCTGCAAGGACATATTTCGGTACGATCCATTACCACAGAAAACAGTTTAGTCTCAAATTCAACAAACATTTTATCTGTATATATGTTTAGTCGATAGAGAGATAAAGACGCTAAGAAGTATCAATAAACAATTCGCGATCATGATTTATATTGATTTGGTGGCCTGTTTAAACATCTGTTTCAAACCAAAGATATCAACAGCTTTGATATCGTCAAAACAGAAACGAACTCTGTTCGAATGTATTAGTTGAACGAATTGTTCATTGACAAGTAACATATTTCGAGAAAAAAAATGAGTTCCCTGTAAATTGGTGCCATGCCAAATGCATTGTGTCAAGGAGGATGACTCGGTGCCGGTAGTACCTATGCAATAACTGCTTACAACATTCGTTCGATGTCCTACCAAGCCTAGACTGTGCTGATGAGTTGAAGAGAAGGATGAAACGGCTGTCCACGGTTAGTCGTCTACTCTCGGATAGACGAAAGGATGTTTAGCTGTTTCATGGCGAGGAGACCACATCTACTATACCGCCAGAATCGACAGCATCTAGCGGCCACATTGGTGACCCGACTATCAAATGCCCATTGAGATCTTTAGCTTTAGTTTCAATCGATAGCTTCTTCTCGATTCTGATAATATACTAAGTGACAAATAAAATGCAACACCTAGAATTATTTATTGAATTTTGATAAACACTTGTGAACATATTTGCTATCATGTATACGCTGATAAAATGTTGAAGGCATTCCGAGCCGTAGTATTTTTGCAAAGGCTTTCTTTGTCATATCAGGATCCGAACAATATGAAGATGTTGGTCCCATTTGCTTCATTGTTGTTTCATTGCATTATCACGCCTAGAGTTCGCAGGCGCACTAATTTCACCCAATTTTCCGAGTATGAAAGGGGTCGCATAATCGGGTTTTTCGCGAAGCCGGATTTTCTTTCAGAGAAATCGCTAATCGGGTCAATCGAAACGAAGCTACTGTACTGAGATGTTTTCGAGCGTGGTTCCAAGAAGGCCGAAATCGTCGAGTTAGAGGTATTAAATGTCAAAGACACAGACCGACAGGACCGTTATTTGGCAATGGCAGTTGCGAAACAGTGCTTGGACACTTTATCGCCGAATAAGGTCTTTTGGACGATTTTCGTAACGTCCCGATCTTGTACTAGCTCTGACCCCACAGCATCGTCGGCAACGATTGGTATGAAGTAGGAAGAGATTTGAATGGAATATTGAATAGATTTCAGTCGTGTTCAGCGATGAGTCCAGATTCCGTTTGGGCAGACATGATGGCTGTGCAAGAGTAAGGAGGAGACGTGGTAAAAGACGTCCAATATTCCAATCCACGGAGTTTTACAACAACATCTGCTTCCCTATTGGAAACATTGAAAGATCCACTTTTTCAGCAGGATAATGCACGACCTCATGTCGCACGTGTTAGTTTAGACTTTTTAGAAGCGTCCGGAGTAAATCTTCAGTGGTCTCCTCGATGTCTAGACTTTTCTCACATTGAACATGTATGGCCCATGATGGGAAGAAAGTTGCAGAATTCACCGCACCCTCCAAAAACATTGGAGGCTCTACGAAACCAAATTCAGATGGCCTGTGTTACAATTCACCAAGACGACATCAATCACCTAATCCAATCAATGCCGCAACGACTTAACGAATGTGTAACAGACAACACATTATTAACATTAAGGTGCGATGCCTCAGCTATTTAGCGAAATTTCGAGTTAAAATTTCAATCACTTTCTATTTGTCAGTAGACCTAAAACTTGTAAAAGCATGCTCTACTCGGTGTTGCATTTTCTCTGTCATTTAGTATAGATGGCACTTTATGTTGCCTTATTTCGATAGAAATAATTTATATCAAGTTCAATATACAATAAAACATTGCCTTTCGACTTTGTCAGCTGTGATGTAGACATCATAAACCATTCAGTATGCTGCCTAAACAAAGTCATCCCATAGGTATGATGCAAGTACATATTTTGGTTGAATACGAAAACATTGTACAACCGTTTGAGTAAGATTTGTGGAATGTGACTCCAATAGCATACAATAATAAATTGGCGAACGTTAAAGCGCGAAGGAAACGAGCTGTCTCTGTAAATTCTAGAAGAAAAAATTCCGCGTTGTTGTAGCATAACGGTATAGCAAGCGGTATACAATGGCAGTATTTAGTATAGTTGTAACCTTGACCTTCAGCATACGCCTCTGCGCATTTTTGTTTA